GGGGGGGGTTAAAATGTTCATGCTGCCTGTGGTAGGGTATGGAGGTATGGATATTTTCTGGAATCACCCATTAAGCAGGCCATTAAATATGGGAAAATTTAGTAATATTAGCAATTATTTCTTAACAAATAACATTTCTGTATCATACATGTATAATATGGGTTTCATGAACTTTAGGTCACATTATTTAGTGGGAAAACTGTCAACTGTTTTGCTAAACAAGGGAGTCTATCATCATATTGAAAGGTTGACTGACTGGAACATGAAAACTGAACATTAACACACAATGCAAACATAAGGAATACATGTAGCTGGTTTGCATGAAACCTACATTTGTTTTCTTATGAGGTTCTGAGTCTCCTCACTGTAAGCCCTTCTGTCTCCTTCAATGATACGATACTGGCGTTGGAGCTTTGCAAGTTCTTGTTCAGCTGAAATTAATCAAGTATAAAACAAATACAGTTGTGATAGAAGTTGATCAGTTGAGTCTCAATAAAGTGTTTTCATATATTTTATGTCAACTGTTAAGGGAATGGGCCTACAAATTTCAGGAAGGAACCTCCTGACCAGTGTGAGCATGGGGCAGTGATCTGTCTGTTTAGTCAGTAATGATCTCTTTCTCCTCATTTTGGTGCTCAAATTTTTTAAAAGCCCAAAATTAGATGCTGTTTCTGAAATTGATAGCAATAACACCACTCGCTGGGGTACTTCCTTGTGGGCTATTTCTGCTTCAAAATTTTTTGAACCACTTTTTAATATTTATGTGTATTTTTCCTTGTTTAGATTATGATAGCAAATATAAGACAAATTAGTATGACAACATAAAGTAAAATTAAAATGATTATAAATTTGAAAAGTTTTAAACCAAACATAAACCATTAATATATTTACATGACTGTGTGAATGTGCCATGCTTTAGGATATGGCTTTTGAGCCTTTTAGGCTTGGATTGAAGCGAGACCCATAGACTGTATCAACTGATGATAATATACAGTATATATATCTATATGTAACAGACTTTTCACTCTGAACAGAAAAAAGCAGATAGAGAATTAACCCAAGATTTCCTTTGTTTGGATATTATATACACAAACAGGCAGGTCTGAAAATGTCATGGATTTTGGAGATCTCATCTGACAATGGTGTAAGAAAATAATTTATTTTGGTTTGGAATACAAGTTGAGTCAGGATTTGGAGAACTAACTAGGTTTCACTCAATATAATGTATAACAACAATTCCATGGAAAAGCCCCCACACTCACTGCAACCCTCTGCATGTATTGTGTGAATATCATGGAAGTTATTATGTTACAGAAGTATGCAGACATTTGACCACAACGCAGACATTTTATACTAATTCTAAAAATCTTCGTCATTTTCACTTATCTCTACCATATTTACATAGCCTGTGTAACAGGTGTTAAATGGGGGAAGGGGGGGCAAAGTGCAGATGGAATGGATGGGGACTGGGAGAAAAGAAGAATGCCTGATATAAGAACCCCCTTTTGTTCATTTCTGTGTTCACTGGGAACACAAAATTCCCATTGGCTAATAATCACTGAATAACTTATTAATTGTTAGTTGCACAATCTCATCAAAGGCAACCAAAAATAGTTGCAGACGAAGAAGTATAAGCATGGGCTTTGAGAGATTTAAATCTCACTATTGTGACCAAATTTATGTTAAAACCCAAGCAAGAATCAGTCATAACTTACAGCTCTTTCAGCTGGAAGAGCAGTTTCAGGCACTTGCGCCTGCAGGATATGGGAAAAATCTAATTTATCAAATGTTTGTTCTTACTAAAAACTATGAACTGAATGGGAAAGCGTTGATCCTCGTTATTTCACCTTTGAAAAGTATCTTTGAAGGACCAGCTGCAGGAGATGGAATCACTGGGCTATCCTACTGCTCATTTCTCCAATTTACCAGACGTGTGTTATTCACTGATGTGAATTTAAAATACTGGCTATCTTCCACTGCCTCACAATTCGTAGCAGAAGCAGCTATGGGATTGTTTGAAGTTACAGCAGTCTTTATAACACAGCATAATTCTACAGCATTTCTGATTTTGCGGCCACTGGGAAATGATTTCAATTGACTAAATTCCCCAGGAAGTCAGTTACGCTGACAAGCATTTCTGATTGGCAAACCTGATGACAGTAATTGATACTTGATGAAATCAGATTACATCAAAATTGTTGGGCGTAATGCGAAAACCCAGGTTCTTATAGCAGGCGTTTCTTTCACTTCTTCCTTGTGTTTTTCCTCAGAGTACTTGTAAGAAACTCTGGAGAATTTGGCTAAGTGCAAGTTACATCAACATGTTTGTCATACAAACCTACCAACCCTCCCAGTTTGGTTGCGAGTCTCCTATTTTTTTGTCATTTCCTGTAGTCTCCTGACAAAAACCAAAATTCCCTGGATTTTTGGAAATATATCGACTGGAAAAAATCATTAAATGATGTTTCTAAAACTTTGTATTAATCTAAAAACTATGTGATCAATACACACTAACAGATCTTTTTTTTTTTCCTTTATTGTATGTGATGTGCCAATCGATGGGGTCTGGGTATGAATCAGCCGACTTCATGCCACATGCTTCCTTGTGTCAGACAAGCAAAATAATGTCATATGACATTCTAGTTTTTTACATAATCTCCAGGTTTATTTGAGTGTACATGTACCTCAAGATTTTTTAATTTTTCACCCTTGGAGGCTGGCAGATCTGTACAAAACATAATGTGTTATCAAAGCTACAATCATATAATGCAATTACCCAGTCCATCAACCTCTGCCTCACTTCCTTCAGATCGTCTACTGTGGACCCTTTGCATGCTGAATTCTAAAAAAAGCTAACAATTCAAACAGGAATACAAATAAGTCACTGAATTCATTTAACATCAGTTACAAATGAAGCAAGTTCTTTTAGGAATGATAAATATGCCATCAATAGGCATTGTAGCAGGTCAGTGATCATGGCCACTTTTTGGAAAACTGCATACCCCTGACAAATATCTTCCATGTCAAACCAAATATTCTTTTCAGCATAACTATCCAATATTAATGTGCAATGTTCTATTATTGTTTTCTTGTGCAACAAGTTAGTTTGCACTTAATAAAGTGTATTATTGTTTGTCTCACAATGTAGTCACTTGATATGTAGCGATCTACATAGCGATCTACATATCAAGTGACTACATCGTGAGACAAACGATAATACACTTTATTATTGCATCTACCACAATGAATAACAACAACCTTTTCCCCAACAAGTTTGCACTTATTTAATTTAAATGTGACCTTAAGCAAGGTGCTAATAACGCGAAGCCGAATGGGCTATTGACCCATGGCCCTAGAGGGCAAAGGGTCTAATTGTTTAAGTATCATCCCCCTAGTCGGACAGAAAAGGCTACAATAATAAAGTTAGCTAATGTAAGTTGAAGAAATATTTATTTGGGAATAAAACAAAAGAAAGCCTCACGCTAGATTGCGCCAATTTCGCTACTCAAGGACTATTACTAATGGTGACCTAGTAGCGTAGCCAATTAAAATGCAGGATTTGCATTAGTCTACCAGTTGAGTCATACTAAAATACCATAGTACTTTACTTTGAGTGATTTCTTATTCTGGTATCCTCTTTCTTTTTTTAATCGTATCTACAACAAAATTCTTGATTGTGATTGGTTCTCCCTGCGCCTATTTGCCACGTAATTGGCGTGTGATCACATGGGTGTCCTATAACGGTATCCAATTTGAACTTTTTGTAACTGGACACCTGTAATTGTATACCCCGTGATTCACACATCAATTGCGTGCGCTTTAATTGCTTTCTTTGCATTGTTTCCTACAGTTTTCAAAGCTTATGAAACGTGCTAAATATGTTTTCACTCAAAAGAAGTTCCCAAAAAGAAATTTTCAATTCCGAAATTAGTTCTAAATACGGTTAATTAGTAATTGGACCTTGTGTCATACAACTCAGGGATTAATCATGCTCGTAATTTCAAATCGGTCTCGCACTTTGCGCTCGTCCAATTTTGAAATTACTCGCACGGTTACTCCCCGAATTGCACTCCACTCAGTCCAATTACTATTACATATAAGAACATGATTTTTTTAAATCAGGCTAAATTGGTTATATATGGTGCTTTACTGGCCAACTTTCAACCTGACGTTCTTAATCCACTTGTTCTCATATACAGTGCAACCTCGATTATCCGGACTTGTTGGGACTAGACGAAATGGTCCGGATAAGCGAGGGTCCGGAAAATAAAAAATATGAATATTAATGAAGAACAAAACTGTTTAAATAAAGCAACATTTAATCGTGAAACAACACTTTTACAAATCGTTTGGAAAACAATATGGTCTACTGTACATCTTGAATCACTCNGGAAAGAGGGACAATGTACACACTTTTTCCCCCTTTTCTCCACTTTCCTGTCGCTTAAAGAACTCTACTTGAGGAGTGCCCCCAACGTCGACAGTAACTACCAAGTCGCTTTTCAGATCTGGTTCATGCTGAAGGAATCTGAAAAGTAAATTATTCACTGAAATACCACATGGGATGTTGACGTTGCATGAAATTTAAAGCTGGATTTCAAAATTTTTAGTTTTTTTGTTGCTTGAGCCCAAATCAAAATCAACAGAGCATTATTTTGTTAGATGCGGGTAAAACATGGTAAAATTGCAACCTTCACACCCGTCATTCACATCTTCGCTCTATATTTGTCAAACGAGAAATCTTACTGTTTTGTTGTTTTGCATTTTTATACAAACTTTTGTTGTTTTAATTTATCATTTGATGCCTTTCCCCCTTTTTCAGTATAACTGAGTTAAGTGTCTGAGAAAAAAAAAAAAAACAATCTTATGCGAAGTTGCAAGTGGCAATGCTGACCATGCACAGAATGTCACAAGTTTATCAACCGTCTAACTATGAGCCCTTGCGTATTACGCTAGCACCCAGTTCTCTGTTCTGCGTCGGCAAAATATTAATTTATGCCAATACCGGTTAGCAGAAATTAAATTTTCAAAGAATCAGTTTTGAGATGCCTTTACAGTCGAACCTCGATTATCCGGACTCGTTGGGACTAGACGAAATAGTCCGGATAATCGAGGGTCCGGATAATCGAAAATATGAATATTAATGAAAAAAAATACTGTTTAAATAAAGCAACATTTAATCGTGAAACAACACTTTTACAAATCGTTTGGAAAACAATATGGTCTACTGTACATCTTGAACCACTCAACTCTGAGCCAATCAATTCATTCAATTCAATTCATTCATTCATTCAGTGTTCTTCATTCGAGTGTTCTTCATTAGTAAAGACGCGTGCGAACGCTGCTTTTGCTCTTTAAAAGCAAAACAAACTCGCTTTTGACTGCACTTTTCAAAGCTATAGTTTTAAAAAGAATATTACTACGAATCTTGATCATGATTAATAAATATTCATGACAAAATTGGGACTAGAGCAAAAGTCCGGATAATCGAGAAATCCGGACAACCGGGGTAAGGATAATCGAGGTTCGATTGTACTTACTTGAGATGATAGTTCTTTATTTCCTCTTCAGACAATGTCCCACTTTTAGAAGGTGAAAGTGGGGAATGAAGATTGACAAAAACCTTTTCTCCATTATATAATGGCTGCTCTGAGTTTCCTTCACCTTGGCGAAGCACTTTGTAATCGGAACTTATATTTTTCTTCTCTTGTTCCTTTAGGTGCCTCGGACAACAACACAGAATGAGACCAAAGTCGGAAGAAGGAACATCAATGGCAGAATCACACAAGAATGCTAAAAATTCTGCATGTTGGTGGCTAACTTGCTTGTATAAACGCCACGCCAGACTGGTTAAAATCGTAAAGGCTTCTTGGAGCTTAACCCAAACCCAAAACCTGCGGTTAAATTAAACGGTAAGAACAAAATCAATTTTTATCACTCCCATATAAGAAAGACGGGGGTGTTCATCGTACCTATTAGGGGTTAAATCAAAGTGGCTGTGAGCCACTGAACTTGGAAAATAAATTATGAAAGGGTGTTATGAGGCATTGCTCATCAAGGAACTACTTGTTATGTGAGAGCAGTCTAGCTTTCGAACAAGCCCATGAAGCCTTTTTCCATTCAGGAGTGTGTTGATACTTGCAAAATGAAAAAGTTCAACGTTAAGAAACTGTTTGTTACCCAGGCCTGCCTACACGTTTTACACTACATGTATCTGTTCATGTCTTCCTTGTGTTATAGTCAAAATCGGCAGGATCATTTTGTTTGGTCAAAAGTGAGGTATAGACTGAGCGAAACACTTGAGCCTGCGGTACCTACATAAAAGATTAATACTTTCGCTGCGGTAACTTGTGTGCAAGTAGCGCAGTGTGATAAGCGCTGGTTCGCCATGCCAGACATTGGGAGTTTGAATCTTAGTGGTGACTGTTGATTACTTTTCCTTTTCTCCTTCATTGTTTTTTCTTTTCCTGTCAAGAAACCATTTACCGAAAGGTAGCGTTTGTCTATCCGTTTCTTGCATTAAAAAAAGCGTCTGAAGCCTTCAACCATTCGTTTATATCGATTGCTTTCGAACTCACAATATCACGTAGGTTTGTGAAGGAAAAACCACGAAGACTTTCCCTGAATCGAATCGCTAAGGAAGAACCATAAGTATTTTCCTTACAATGAAAAGATCGTGATACCTTCTACCTCTTGAAAATAATTAACTTGGCACGCTGCAAGCGACTGTAAAACGGCCTTGGACGGCTGATGTTCGAAACCGGGGGAGGGGGGACGGGATTACTATATGAAAAGGTCGGGATGCCCGTCGTCTCGGGCACATATCAAGGATTCTGGTCTCACTTAGGGTGTTGATGACGAAAGTGTCACCATTTTTATTTGTCAAAGTATCCTTTAGGGTGCACTCGAGGAAATAATAGTAAAAGAAACGCTCTTATTCTGTTTTCAGGCTTGATTTCCCCTTATCTCTCGAGCACGCGTGTCGGGTTTACAAGTGCGCGCGGGATCCTTTCTTGAACAGTGGCTGGTGATCGAACCTATTCCGTTTTAAGTGGTATCTTTTAGGGCTGTAATAAAGCTCGAGCAACGTCCACATTAGTCTCCTTTAGGAGTTAAATTCAAATTTTCCGACGAGCATCCCTTGCCTTTTTATACGGGAGTTCCCCCCCGCCCCGGGTTTTTCTTGGAAAATAATAAATATTGGTGGTTTTGTACCTCTTACGGAGTTCAGCCTCAAAAAGTCCGCGACGGGAATGTTCACTTCCTGGTCGCTTATATCGACCAGGATAGAGATTTATGACAATGCTTTCGTAAACTTTAGGAGTAGAAGGTATTTGAAGCAGTCATTGTGATCGCTTTTAAAAAATTATGTAAAATTATGTTACTGCATTGTTCTAGAATTGGCACCTCTAAGGGTTAAAAAAATTCAAGCCACGCCCACAAAAGGGGTTCTTTTCAAAATTTCCGACGAGCACACCCGTCTTTTTTATATGAAAGTCCTCCTCAGACTCGATGGGTATATTGTGGATAAAAAGCAGTCAACGATGTGTGAGATGACATATTGGGGCCATTTATACGAGGAACATAAGCCGCGGATTACACAAGCCGCGGCTTTCATAAGACGCGAACTTACCGCATAAACGGCTTACACAAGCCGCGGATAACATAAGCCGCGGCTTGTGTGAGAAGAGGGTTTTTAGCTCGGCTTATATAAGTCGCAGCTTATATAAGACGCGAAACCACTCGTATAGATAGTTTTCACGTGACGTCATCACTTTCTAAAATCCAAAACGAAAGAGCCACCAAAGTTTTTGTCCTCATCAGGCACAAGAGGTATACTTATATCTGTTTACAATTTTACAGCTCAATAGCATGCTTCGTTTGGAATCTAGAGCATTTTGAATTTCAGGGTTATGCAGGTTCGTGACACAAGGCTATGATCGAGTTTGTCGAAGAATATATACTTATTCCATGATTTAGAGCCTTTTCAGAAGTTAAAGCATTAGGAAAAATGCTTATGTAAATGCTTGTTTGATCAGTACTGATAATCAGTCGCCTAGATAGCCAAAGTAAGTTCCAGATGTTTACACTATTTTCCGGCCGCCATATTGGTGTACCACGAAGGTACACCAACATGGCGTTTTCATACTGGGCTCTGTAAATATCGGCGAAACCTTTCGACGAATATCTGAAGTTTGGGGAAACGCACAGCCCTAAAACTTGGAGAAGTGGCTTATTTAGTTGTCTTCTATAACATCATAATTTCATGGCTTTTTCCACTGGATGGTTTACGATTTATTTTTTTACTGCGTGACAGTGAAAACGATCTATAAATGGTATCGCGGTTTGTTCGCGGCTAACGTAGGACGCGAACTCACACTGCGGAAGAGCAAGTTTTTCCCGCGCTCGCGCGACAGCTCGCGCAATTCCCCGATTGCTATGATAACCAACACAAAAGCGAGGCATTCACAGTCACGATTAAGGCCTGAACCATTTATACGAGCACTTTGCGTCCTATATAAACCGCGCTCGTATAAATGGTCCAGTTGACATCCTATGTAAGCCGCGGCTTGTGTAATCCGCGGCTTATTTTTCTCGTATAAATGGCCCTATTGTTTTCCTGGTCACAATTAGCTCTCAAACACCAGTCCATTGTGACATGCCACGTGGAAATTTAGCTCAGTAGAGATCACTTGGTTAGCGGGCTGGTCATGGTTTCCTGGTACACGGAGATCTACATATACTTCCTGATGATCTTCACTACCGACGTAAAGGATGAGACAGGACTTGGTTCCAAAACTACTCTCTTTTGACTTCATTTGTAATCATCAGTGTAATAATAACGATGCCATCAATATAAGGTATCAGTGCAGTCGACGAAAACATTTTAAAATATACCTTGGCTGTATACGATTTCTTAGGTCAAAGCGCGGGAGGCGGGGTGCTCCCTTACATTGGTTATATGGGTATGTGCGGCCTAAAGGGTATGGTTTTTGAGCTGTTTTGTAAAAGGCATGGATTTTGATCATTGTGGTCTGAAATAGGATATTATTTCAGCCTGGCTTGGCACTGGGTGTTTTGTTTACAAGGAACATATTTTCTCCGCATCAACACTGACAAATCTGCAAATTTGTAGCCCTTCTCAAATGTTTACCCAAATAAATTAAAAGCAATTTCTTCTTAGCTGCTGTCATATATTAAAGCGTGTAGTAATCAATTTTAGAAATCTGGAATGGGATATCAATTGACAATTTCTTGTAATAACAATCACTTATTGTTATCTCTTCTAAGTACTGTTTCCACGTGATGGTTTGACAGTCGATTCACTGTTCCGATCTGGTCATTAGGGAGTTTATGTAACCACGACGTTGACGCCGAGGGCAACGTCGATTAAAAAATGAATTTATGTTTTATCTACTAATGTCGCGTTCAGCCTTTCTCAAAACTATCTCAAAACTGAATATGGATTACAGCTTAAAATTCGAAATACAGTCAACTCTCTCTAAGACGGACACCATCGGGACTGGCCTCAGCTGTCCGTCTTAGAGAGGTGTCCGGCTTGTAGAGAGTCGACGTAACATGACCCCAGGAATTTTAAGATAATAATGCTGAACCTGTGCACAGTGAATACGCGTCTGTTTAAAGTTTGTTTAAAGTTATTTACTCGAACGAAACCTACAAACTGGAACAAAAACATATTTATAAAATTGAATCTCTTGTCGTATTACGATCAATAGTTAAAGGGTTAACTAGAGTCCAAACAGTGAACAGTACATTCTGCAAACGGGAACATAACCATCTTATGACTCAGGACTGTCTTTCGCGGCATCAAGTCTAAAAAGATGTCATTTTTTCTAAAAAAAAAATTGATAAAAGCGAGTTAAGTTAATAGCTTCTAATAGCCATGGCTTTGGTGGGCACGGCACTTACGAAGAAAAGAAATCTGTGATCGTGGATTAACTTGTACTGTATGTATTCCGCCGACAAGATAAGAGCTGTCAATTAAACGTCTGGTGTTAAAAAGAGTCACGTACTTGGTAATTTAAGAATTTTTATTCCTTAAATCGTAATTTGCGGTCACATTCAGCACCTCACAAGTGTCCGTTGACGATTTCAAAGTGTCTGTTGTCCGTCTTATGGAGGTGTCCGTCTTATAGAGTGTTTGGTTATAGCAAAATGACTGAGAAACGGCTGGGACCACCACCAGGTGTCCGTCTTATAGAGGTGTCCGTTAAGAGAGAGTTGACTGTATAGATGTTACAAATAGTCCGTCGTGGTTCACGTTTTCCACAAAACGCTGAAGTTAGTCATTTTGCGTTGTTGTTTTGCAGAGGATCGAACGAGAAAGAAATGTACCAAGCATGAATCACAACGCATGTGCACAACCGTATCGTTCATGGCGAAATTCCCGTTGCCGTTGCTGTTGTGGTTTTCATAAACTCGCTATTATGAAGAGAACAGGACTAAGATCTCAAAGTTGGAGTTGGAAATTTTAGTGTAACTAAAAGTCCTAGCTAGCTTGAGGCTGGAACAATAAAGCTGTTCAGACATACTGAATTTAATACTGGTGACATTTGTTTTGTAGTAAAGAGAGGACAGAAACCTTGAAAACTTGATGGTTTCCACGGATTGAATAAAAAATCTCTCTGTGGAAAAAAACACCAGAATTTGGCTCGATTCTGTAGACGGATGACCAGAAGTCTCCTTTAATCGGGCAAAAAATAAGCATTTCTGCTGTAGTTAGGAAACGTTTGACAAATGTGTATACATGTATCTTAATTCTCATAGGGTTGACAGTTTTATTTTTCCGCAGGTAACACACCCCACTAGAGAGAAATGAAGCTGGAAATGAGTTTGGAATTTTTTGGTATTCATCAGGATCAGGGACAAAAAAAATACTGTACCAGGTCTACATAGGTGTGTTAGGCTTAGGCATGTCGAAAAAAAGTTTATTTTAGCACAAAACATACTCACATTGAGAAGTGGTTTACTTCAAATGCCACGATCCCATTTTTTACATCTACCCGGACATTCAAGTCCCCTGTAATATCAGCCCATTTTGCTGACTCACTACTAGCGGTTAGAACCAAAATCGTCTTATGATCAGAGGGAACATATGGCCATCGTCTATCATCTCGCAATGCCAGAGGAATCGTGATTCTTGCTGGATGTAGGAGTTTCACTTCATCGGAGCATGAAATGTGAAGGATAGGACCAGCGAAAACTACTTCTTTTACCTGGTCACATGGAACCTCTTGCAACTAGAAACAAAATGAACTGTTCATCACACACGGTCATCATTAGGCCACATTTACAGTGAAGTACATGGTTAGCGAGCTGGATGGATGCTGCATGGAACGGTCCGGGTTCAGCCCTGGCTGGGGACGAGACACTTTGCTTTTACAGTGCCTCTTTCCACCCAGGTGCATAAATGGGCACCGGTGAATTTAATGCTGGGGGTTAACCCTGCGATGGACTAGCATCTCACATATCTCTCCGGCAAGCTAAGCCGTAAGGAAGCAGCCACCATTTTCTGGATATGGGCATGCCAATTATGTGCGTGGAATTATACTTAGTAACGGCGTGCAAAGCAATACTCATCTCAAAAACGGATGCCGACGATATTTGTTTTAACAGTTGTTACAGCTTAAACGTATCAGAACAAACGATCTAGAAGTCTGCATACCAATAAAGGGAAATTTTATGACGATTTTATGAATCAAATAGTTACCTTTAGAGTCACTGAGAAATTTTCACTTGAAGGTACAGAACTGTGAGGAATCGTTACACTAACACCTGGAAACTCCGACACTGTACATGTGAAATCAGAAGTCTGAGGGGAAAGCTTATGAAATGTAAAGGATTTCAAACGCCATATCACAGCAAACGACGAACAGGCTGTTACAGTTTCAGCCTCAGCAAAAGGGAACATCCAGTCAGGTACTTCTTGCTCGCTGTTATGTCCATCTGGGATATCTGCAGCGGAACAACTTAAATTTGTCACTGGTGTGCAAGTTTGCCAAAATCATATACTTCTCTAAATCACTGCGCCAAAGCGATATTATCCTATAGTGTATCTTGCTTCGAAAATGCAATCGTGACGCCATAGAATGTTAAAGTATTCAAGGCGCATGCCGTATGTGATGTAGAAGCATGCAAACTTGAGTATTCAAGCGGACTTCAAAATCCAAGAGTATTCCAGTAAGGCGCACGCGCAACTCGTGACTATTTAAGACTGCTCAAGGATGTACACGTGACCTATTCTTATTAAAAGCCATTTTCACGGTTAGCTTTTCTTTATTGCATTGCAACGTAATCAAACGTGGATACGAGGCAATTTCCAGTAGACACTACAACATAGCTCAAAATTGCCTCACATACATTTTGGATGTAATACATTCCATTGTATTCACCGACTTTAGAGGATGTAGCTTGGCTAGAAGAAGCTGGGTTAATGTTTCTAATTTTCCATACATTTGTCTGTAAAATTTGGGTGGGTAGACGGACGTCTAGACGCGGTTCGAGGGAAAAAAAAATTACAGACAAACGTATGGAAGATTAGAAAACTTAACTGAGCCTCTTCTAGTCAAGCTACATCCTTCAAAGTTGGTGAATACAATCTTCTACCCAGCATTTTAACGTTTTGATTCACAAATTGTGTAAAATTCAATTTTGTAAAAATTTATTTGCCATCGGATTCCCATACAAACACTGTAATTTCTGACCGCTTTGCCTACCCGTCAAGATGGTGTCGAAAACCGTAATAAGGTCTATTGTATATCGAATCAGGCGTCCTTGAGCATCTCAGAATATTTCGGTATACGCGGCGTGAGCAGATCTGTATTCGGGCGAATTCGCGTCCGAATATTTGGCCTTTTGCGCAGCGAACGCTGCCATTTGATTCGCTATTTCATCTGCTTGCTGTCAGTCATTAGTATGTGAGTACTGCAAGTTGACGACTAGTTCACTCACAGTTTATATTTACGCAGCAATCATGAAGCGACTGCACGGGGAATTACAATCCCGACTCCATCTTCACAGACAAACAAAGAGACTAAGAGTATCAGTATACGCACAAGCAGAATTGAAATCAAGAGTTCCTACCTGATGGTTTCCATACTTGTCTGGTGTCCAACTCCATCCATTCATTGCTATCAAGATCAACCAATTCTTTGATCACCAACTCGTATCCCTTCAAGTCACTGGCACTGTGAGATAACCTTACCGTCACCTTTTCATGAACATTTTTGTGGAACTTGACACCTAGTGGATCGTGTTCACTTGACAGCTCTATCACGTTGCTCACCAAGCTCTCGTTTTCCGCTAGAGATGGCGAACAGATTTTAGGACTCCACCGCGAACATTTCATCTGTTTTGGTTTTGACTTAGCCATAGGAGAAAACTTGATGCAAGCAGCAAATTCTTTAAGGTTCCATGAGTCGCCTTGCTCTTTATCCTTGTCTCTAAGTGATCAGAGATTCAGAGATTCAGAGAT